TTACTGATAATCTGCCAAATTTTGTTAACATTCGCATACTAATTTAAAAGTTATAGCATGGAAACTATAACAAGCTTAAAATGATTAAGAGGTTGGTGCCAGGAACCGAGCCCATGCTGCAAGAGTTAATCCATTGGGACATTGCTTTATGCATGATCCAGCACTGTAGATTATTGGATTTTAAGAAAATGCATTATTTTATCAGTATACTGTTTTAACTGGTATTTAACAATATTTAGTTCATTGTGATTATTAGATACTGTTTTTTGCAGAAACTTCCATTATTATTGTAGGAAGTGCTTTTGTTGAAAAATATACAACTAAAATTGCACATTAAACAAATTTTTTTATTTTAATCGTGTTTTATAATATTCAGCTCACAATGTGCTTCCCTATGCAACCAGGTACTTTCATTTTATGTGGTTTATTCAATTATTGAAATATTATTTCTGATAGAATGCATCAAGGGATTGCTGTTTGCTTTTTGTCATCTGCACAAAATGATGTGGAATGTTTTAAGTTCTTTACTTAGAAGCAGAAATATTGTTTTCATAACTTAGAGGATATTATTACTTTTCGATACAAGAAAAAATATGAAGGTATCAAAATTTAACAAGTGATAAAATTCATCAATTTACTGTATAAGTCAAGGTTTTACACTATAGGACAAGGTGACTTTTGAAGTCAACATCGTTTGTGAAATATGTGGGTTGTTTAAAGTACTATTTACCATATGCTGTTGTTATATAGATTATCATGTACTGTATGTTTTAATTTACTGTTAATGTATGTCGGTATTATGTATAAATTGTGTGTGTTTAGCTGTATAACTTGTAATTAGTTGGTTATCATATAAGCTCATACCTAGTTCTCATTTTTTAAGTATAATCACAGTTAAGGACTTCAGTCTAGTATGAAAGGAAGTAATCTGAAGTTTAAGTATTATTATTAAATTAAAGTAGAACTTTAAAATGATCATTTCATGCTTTTTTTTTCTGAGTCCATGGATGAATTTTAAAAACATTGATGAATGATCAAAAGCTAGTTGACCATGTTTGTTGTGAAAGTAATTATTTTTAGATGAGAAGTATAGTATTTTATATATTTTAATTATTGTAAATTTGCATTTTTCCAGGAGAAGTATTTTCATAGTGAACCCCGCAATTACCGTTGTAAGGTATGTCTTACATGGTTTGGATTGTTTGCAATCTTTGTTAAACACATGGAAACAGAGAGTCATCAGTACAGGTGTAAGTATTGTGGACTGAGCTTTGTTCAGCCTGGTCCCCGAAGAAACCACATTCAGAGTGTTCATCCTGAAATGGCTAATGTTTGTGAAGTAAGATTTGTTAAATATTTATATTCTTAAACTAAAATACCAAGAGACAGCTAGATGTGTTTTAGTTTCCCCTCAGATAGTGAAATACAATTTTTCAAATGTATGTGTTTACAGTTGATATTGTAAATTAATTAATTTTAGATGAATGTTGTCAGTGATGGCTATTGATTATAACATTTTCTTGTTTTTTGGTATAAATTTTCCATCATTGCACTCATGGAAATATGATTGAATGTATACAGAAATAAAAACTTGTGAATAACATAATTCAGTGATATGTCTATATTTTGAGTGGGTTCTAGCATATTATATAACATGTTTTAGTGTTGTGTGTATTGCCTGAATTACTTTAGCATGTAGTTTAACATATATAAGTGTAATATAACATATACTGTCATTGTGCAGGCTATTTTGGATTATTTGGTAAAAATGATGCCAAGTACAGTTCATGTAGTGATAACAAAATTAATTTATTTCTTCAGTCAACCTTTTCTACAACCTTGTTAAACGATAGCTCTAGTTTCATAAATATATATTTTGACATTTAAACCAAAATTAATGTAGCCATAAATTTAACTTGAGTATTTCAACAGCTATAAATTTACTATTAGAATTCCTCATTAATCAGTCGATCACAAATATGTTGACTCTTTGATTAGTTTACTAAATGGTTCACATGATAGATGCACTAACTCTTGCTGTACTGAATTACTTTACTGAATCAGTAGTCACTGCTTCACAGATTATGGAATTTATATTGTACTCACTTTTTCAATACTACACGCAATTTTAGAGTATAATGTTAATGAAATTTCTAGATACCCTCTAACAAACAAGCATCTAAATTCAGATACAAAAAATGTAACGAACAACACTGCCATTATTCTTGAACAATCATAAAACACACACAAAACAATACACTAAACTATTCATTCACCAGTGGTTATGGTAGATGGGATGACTTCTTGTCTATTGTTGTCACTTGCTGTCCTGTCACTAGGAGAGTTTTCCCTGGGTATGTGGTCAAGTGAATCTACTGGTGGCTCTGTCTTTGTGAGTGGTCTTGACAGGATCTATGGATTCTTTAACAGGTTGACTTTCTGTTGATACATTATTCTCTTGAGTTATTTAGTTGACCATTCTCTCACAAACTTATTTTCAAAGATAATTACAGTGAATAACCTTCAACTTGGACGACCTGTCCATCTGGATTTTGTAAACGACTTTGAAATGTGCCTTTTCTTGCAATGATAATTTTTCAGCTATACCATATCACCATGAGGGTAATCCAGTCTTATCAGCATTAAAATCACAATGAGTTTTTTATTTTTATTTTTTATTTATCAAAAGCTGATTTAAGTCTCCTGTGTTAAAGTCATGTAAAACATCTTTATTTTTTGGATTTATGAGAGCTCTTATAACTGCCAGTTCCTCAGGACATGCCAGAGTGTTTGGTTACACTATGCTCCAGTCACTAGATGTTAATTTGTTCTTCATAACTGCTGATAAGAGTACTTTAATTCTTGATGGTACAATTCCTTTTGTCACTAGAAGTTCAACATCTGTTGTAGTAATTGTCATGTAGTGCACATGGATTTTATGGTCATCGACTGTGAATTATTTTAAGCTAGGCTAACCTCATATCCCTGTCTCAACATGTAGTTGTTTGAAAGTATACACTCTTCTTTGATGTCAATTACTTACACATCATGAGATGTAGAGAAACTTCATGCAGTAAAGGTAACTTCCATCTTTCCTCTTGCTGAAACTTTATGTCCACCTGTTGTTTGCATCCATCTCTCCTCTTTATGCGTCTCTGGAGACAATTTCTCATCTTTAATTAGCTAATCGGATCAAACAGCTATAGTTGTAGAACCACTGTTGATAACATATTTCAAGGTTTTCTTTCAACAAACTCATCAACTTGTGGACAGTCTTCCTTAAATAAATTTTTATCTTTGTTAGATGTACATTACTGTTCACTTTAAGTTTATTACAAGAGTATTATTTAGTTTATATTGTGCAAATATTAACAAAAGGTATTTTAGAAGTGATATCTATGGCAAGTTTGTGTATGCAACTGTGTACTTGACATCATGTTACTTGAACATTCTGAATTTTTCTCATTGCTTTAATTGAGTATTGTTGCATTATACTGTCTAGTAGTGTGTGGAATGTTCAAGACTGCTCTTGTGTGTGTGCATATATATATATACACACACATTGATAAAGTTAGTTAAATTTAGTTAGATTGATAGATAGATCTAGACTTCTTGATTGTGAGTTTAGCCATAAAGAGCTTTTAGTGGTGATTTTTAAAGTGAATTATTACAGATTGTATTGTAATAACAGAGTACAGAAGAATAATTTGTCTTGTCACTTGTGTACTAAAGTAATTGAACTGGCCTGTGTGGACTTTGATGAAAGGAGACAATTATTTAAATCTCTGGATACAACCTTGGTAACCAACAGTTATACTGTTGATCTTAGAGTGGGTATCACAGCCTTGCATTGTAACAACAGAGTAGAGGGGAATAATGTGTTTTGTCAAAGGGTGTTCTAAAGTAATTGAACCCAGTTCCCTCTCCTATAGATCTGTACGTGCTTATACATCAGTTATTAATTCATAGAAAATATTGGATTGAGGGTGGGGGGTGGAACTCCAACTCTAGAACCTGCTTGTACGACATTGTACAGCTACACAATCATAAATTTGAAACATACTGTTGTAAACAATTGATAAATTTATGCTTTATTTAACACTTATGTAGCTAGAGAGTTGGCAGTGGGTACTACCATGCCAGTTGCCTTCTTTCTAGTCAGTAGTTCAAAATTAGTGACAATACCAGTTAGAATTAGTAACTTTGCAATAACAAAGACAGGGTGAGCAAGGTTTAGTGGTAATGGGAATTGAATCTGAGACCCTAAAATCATGACACTCTACATTATGTAGCTTTGTGCTTAACAACAAACAACATAACGACAAGCAATATTTTAATTTCTTGATCTGTTGTAACAATTGAAAATACTTGTAATCAGAATACCTAATTTTGATTAGTTGATTATTTCCATGACCATCAATTTCAGCATAATTTTGATTAAATGGTTCTTGGAATAATTCTACACAGTAATGATTGGGACAACTGATTTCAATAAGTTGATTATTTTCATGATATTAATTGATTTGAATTGTAGTTTTTATTAACCCCTATCACAACTAGCCGGTGTATTTTACAAAACCTTTTAACCACCATGTTACTATGGTGGTATACATACTATGACTTTGAAAATATATAATGTATCTTCACAAAATTTGTCAAGCTTTCAGTAAGCTTTAAAAGTTTTTGTAGACTCTTTTGTATATATCATGAGGTTTTGGTGAGTTACATTCAAAATTTAATTAAACTACTTATTTTTATGGTGTATGAATAAATTTGGCATAAAATCCAAATTTTAATAATGCATAAGCTTTAAGTTCATAATTTTTTTTATGCCAATATTGAAAAATATCCTAAATTTCCTTTAGTATGAGAATTATGACATTTTATCTCTAGGCATCCCCTCTTCTCTAATTTATTTACAACCCTCCAAAAAGTACAGAAATTAACATAAATTACTCATTATAATGTAGTCATTGCTCAGTAAAAGCATAATTTTTATAGCTTTTAATCTTAGTTAAGTATAGAGGCATATACCTGAAAATCAGACCTTGCCACACCCATCTGTCACATCCTGCCTTTCAGAAATTGCCAGTTGTTCTCTCTGCTGTTTAATACTATATTATTTATAACCAATAGAGGTTTTAATCTATCAAATGATGAATTATATTATGTTGTTTTATGCACAAAGAATTATTGATTTTGTTTCCAGTTCAATTTTTTTTCCCATGGGAAACACATTGACAAGCTTAGCTGAATTTTTAACAGTTCTTGTTCCATAGTTAGAAGGCCAGAAAAACTGTGATAGTTATGAGACATTGTCTGCTTTTTTGCATATAATTATTCTGTGTTCCTTGGTGCACAATTTAATAAAATAAATAATTATTTAGTGCAGTGGTACTATTTGTATATAAAAAGTAGAGTTAACTGTTATTGACAATTGACAGAATAAAAAAAAAGACTCGGATAAGTCCTATATTTTTTATTTTCATGTGTATTATTTATTATTATAGAAGTAACTAAAATATAAAAATTAGAAACTTCTTAGGTTAGATTAGGTACAATAAAAAATAATAATGTTAACAATAAAATTTTTCATGAGGTACACTTGCAATCAACTCATGAGTAGCTCATGCATTATGTAATTTGATAGGATAACATGAGCTGCATGTTCACCAAGTGAAATAGAAATTTTATGGCAGGAATATCAGTTAGTCATAGTTCAGAAGGCAATAAAACTAAAATTTTAGTACAAACAGAAGTTTACTATTACAAGTTTAAAGCTATTTAGGATAGACAAATATAGTTTCATGTCACAATTTGAAGTCATTCTAGAAAGTAAAAAAAAGTGTAATTTAGATTTTAAAAAATCTTTTTGTTGGTTACTTCAGTTAGGGCAGAGAAAATAACAAAAAAAAGTTTTTTTTCACTGAAAAAAAAACTTTTGAAATTTATTTGGGAAGTTTTATTGATTATATAAATGAAATTTGAGATTTTGCAGATGAAGAAACTTTTTTGATATTAACATGAAAATCACTTTACGCTCGGAGCAGTCAACACTTTGACTCCGTATATCCATGGAGAAGTTTTTAGTGAAAATACTTCATTAAAATGTCTGATTTATTTGTCTACAAATGTCTTAAAAATACTGAAAGCTTGTAATATTTTGTGAAGATACACAAAACATAGAAGTTATAGTACGAAAACTAAAGATCAATTTGGAGTCGCAAACTCGGACAATTCGACCAAGTCCATAGCAAGAAAGTTATATATTGTTACTAAGATTTTGTCCATAATTATATGGTGTCAAAGTGTTGACTGCTCAGAGTGCAAAGTGATTTTCATGATAATATTAAAAACACTTTTCTTCATCTGAAAATTTTTAAATTTCATTTGCATAATTCCTAAAACCTCCTAAATGCTTTTTCAGAAAAACTTTACATTTTGTCTGCTATTTTCTATACTATAACATTATACAGGTTTTGGTCAACTTGACTGATCTTGTAACCACCATAAAAATATTAGGAAATAATTCTAAATTACCCTTTTTTCTGTCTGGAATGACTGCAAATTGTAACAGGAGACCATAATTGTTTATCCTAAGTATCTTTAAACATATAGCAGTATATATTTGTTTCTATTTAAAATTTATTATTTTATTGTCTTTGCAACCTTGTCTAAGTAATAATCTTGCCACACAAGTTGCAAATCACTTGGTAAACATGTAGCTCGCATTACCTTTCGAATTACATAACATACAGGTAACTCACGAATATGCCTCATGAAAAATATTATTATTATTTTTCTTTATTTTACATAATATAACCTTACCTAACCGAATAAGTTTCTAATTTTTACATGTTAGTTACTTTTGTAATAACAAATAAAGAATACACATGACAAACGAAATACAATTTCACCTGGATCTTCTCTTTTTCAGTCAACTGTTAATGAAATTTAAACTAATGGTACCACCATACTAAATGTTTTTATTTAATTAAATACTGCATCTTAAAACACAGAATAATAACATTTAAAAAGCAGACAATGTCCTATAACTATCAAAATGTTTCTGGCTTTCTACCACTGTGATAAGAGCTGTTAAAAATTCAGCTAAGCTTGTTGAATTTTCCCATGGGAATAAAGTTTGAACTGGAAGTGAAATAGACAATTTTATCTACAAAAAAAACAACATAACATTAAACTTTGGCTTTCTATTGGTTATTGGCAATTTGTGAAAGAGAGGATTTTACAAGTGTGCGTGACGGGAAGAGTTTAGGCTCTGAAACCAATTAAGATTGAAGGCTATAAAAATTACTCTTTGCCTGAGTAATAACTATATTATAATGAGTAATTTACATTACATTTTATACTTCTCAGAAGGGTAGTAAATAAATAAGAGAAGAGGGAAGAGAGAGAGCAAATGTCACAGTTTTCATACTAAAGGAGATTGAGGATGTTTTAAAATACTTCCTTATAAAATTATGAAATTAAAACTTAAGTAATATTAAAATTTTTATCAACTATGTGATGCCATGTTTATTCATATACATTGATAATAAAGTAATTTAATTAAATTTTGAATTCAACTTTGTCAAATGTTGTGACATGAGCACTTTGAGCTGCCGGATGTGATAGGGTTAAGTGATTAGTATATGCATCACCATTTAGTGTAATTGTTGCTCACAGGTAATATATTAAATCATCCAGCCATACCTCCCATGTTGTCTTTTAAGAATTGTCTGCCATTATTTCTGATTTTGTTGTTGGACATATTTATAACCAATAGAAAGAGCAAATTTTACACTACACATATCAGGTGATTGTCTGGTTTGTGTTAGTGTTAAACCAACAGTTTTTCGTGAGAGACTAAAGATGCTGTTCTGAGCAGTAATTTGTATCTTCTAAAATAGGCTGCTGTTGTTTCCAACCAATTAGAAACATAATTACAAGCAAGAATCTAAAATATGAACTTTCTGTCTTCATGGTTTGCTGAGATATCAATAGATTTTTCAAACATGTTAGAGAAGCCCCTACACTTTCTCTCTTCCTTTCAAGACAGTTTCCTAATGACCTTTATATGGCTAATGAATGTGTTTACAACTAGCGGAAAGAGAAAATTCTCCTGTATGAAAATCTTTAAAATCTGTGTTCAGTTTTCCCACCATATGCCATTAGTCGATGAGAATTGAGGGATGTGTGTTGATCAGATCTGTTCTGAACAGAAACAGAATTTTTTTTAACCTACTTATAGCTTACTTAAAAAGCCATATAAATTATTTTAGTTTTGGGAGATACTGTTGTTGTTTCAGATTTATATTTTGTATTCAAAAATGAATATGTGAAAGCTACATGAATTTTTTTAACCCAAAAATGTGCAAGACTTAATGAGTTTAAGGGGAAAATGCCAAATATTTGTACTCTTGAATACACAGTGAGTATTACAAATTCTTGTTTTTATGAATTTTTTTTTATTATATTATTTTTAATAAAAGTAACTAAAATATAAAAATTATTACTTCCAATTTTAGCCTAAACAAAGTTCAACAAAATAAAACGTATAAAATTACACTGGCTTGGGCTTGAGCATTGGTGTGATGCATGACTAAATCACTTGCTATTTACATTAGCCCTCCAAAAAATATCCTTTGGACAACCACTGTGATTCATTACTTTTGACATGAGGATTACTACCACCATGGATACAAAGTAATATAATAAAACCATAAGATTAAAAAAAAACAGATGTGAAAAAGGTTAGAAGTTGAATTTGTTAAGATAAGTAACTTGACATTGTCTTCTATATTCTGCAGTCTTTCTAGGCAAAAACAAATGATATTATTGATTTATTTTTTCTGTTTCTCACTTCTGTACATTGATGATTTTGTTACAGGTAGTGTTAGGGTAGAGAAAATATTAAGCTTTATAAAAAATTATTATTTATTTAGAAGGTTCCATAAATTTATCAAATGAAATATGAAACTATAAGATGAAAAGAAGTATTTTGATCCTTAGCATGAAAATCACCTTTCATTCACACTGACTCGGCAAAACCTTCATAAATTCAAATGTTGATAAGTTATTCACCCATTCCTTCAGGTATGAGTTGAGAAGCAAGGAGTAGTTGTATCGTAGAGTAGTTACATATATTTTAAACGATTTTACTATAATAATGATAGTCTAAAATACCGTTTCTTTTTTCTGGTCTTCAGTCATTCTCTCTCTCTTTTAGTATGGTGGAGGGGACATTGCTTGAAAAGCATTGACACTGCCTCTTCTACTAGGTAGTGTCAAGGTTTTATACCCATAAATTTAGTCCATAAATACACCTTTAAACAACTAGGAGTTAAAGGTTTCCCACATACAACATTCCAAAAGGAAATGTCTTTGTGGTATGTCCTGTTCCTCAGTTATGTTGCCATTTTTTTATATCGTTTTTGGAATCTGATGGAGGTTTAAGGACTTGTTGAAAATGTAACTGTTTGTTATCATACTTGCTGTTAGTACAACCATATGCCTTACATTCAAATGATTTTTTTCTTCTCATAAACAAGTATTGGATTTCAAGGGAATATATATTTATTTAGAAATTCAAAAAGCTACATAGAATGATTTTTTTTTGTATTTATTTCTCTTTCCTTTATTTTCAGATTTGTGGTGTAAAAATGGAAAGCTCACAAGCATTGTGGAGTCACTTGTCTGGCCATAAGATTGTGCATGAGTGTCCAAAGTGCCGTCGTCGGTTTTTACAAAAAGAGCAACTCAATGCTCATATGGAAGTGCATGAGTATGTAATTCCAATATAAGTTTAAAATTCATCTTTATAAAAGTTGCATTGAATTATTGTATTAGACACTGTATTATTATACCTTAAATGATGTAGATTCATGCAAGCATGTTCATTTGCAGTTCGGTTGGGCATGGCCAAGTGGTTAGTGTGTTGGATTATGAATCTGAGGGTTCAGGGTTTGTGAACTACAGGCTCTCCAGCGTTCCTAGTATTTCCTAGTTTTTCCTAGTTTTTTGAATTGGTTCCTAGTTTTTCCTAGTTTTTACAAAAAGCTCCTAGTATTCCTAGTTTTTTTTAAATTGAAGAAGTATTTTTTTCATGATCACATGTTGCAGTGTTTTAAAGTATTTTTACAGAAGATGTTCAGAAGCTGTTTAGTTGGCATGTTCCTTTGCTAGCAGTGTGGTCCGGTGTCATTGGTGCATAACCCAGCCATCTCAACCTACATGTATGTTCACTAAGGTAAGCTTTAATCAAAACATGACATTTTTTAGTTTGCTTTTACTAACTGTTGTCAACATTTAGAAACAATGTCATTTGATCTAGTAGTGTGTTAAATGTTTGATGTATGTCTCTTATGTCTCTACCCCAATGATGCTTT